ACCCGGGCTCCCCCCGAGGCGCCGGCCGCTCCTCACAGAGGCCGCCCTGCAGCCCCCCCATGCCAGCGCCTGGGCACCTGCAGCCGGGTACAGGTACTCTGATTAAAAACGCTGCAGAAAGGCGATGCAGAATGATATGCTGTAGTTTTCACTTTCTAACTTATTGTCTTTTTGCCTGACTTCACTGTCGCTGTCACCTGCTGCCCTTCCCCTTGGTCTTTTCCCTCTGCCTTTCCCCTTCTAGCCCGGGGCACCAGGGAGGGGGGCAGCAGAAGCAGGGACAAAGATCACTGCAGTGGTGTCATGTGTGCCGCTGTCACAGAAACTAATATCCTCAGCTTTTCTCGCCTGCCTATTCACAGCATAAGATTTTCCCAAGCCATGCAAAAATCTAATACCAGGCTCTCTGTTCAGGAGTTAAATGCTTGATGAAATCGATCAAACCGTTTTTACTAGGCTTGGATTGATGATATCCCATTTTTGGCTGTCCCTTGCTGACACTTCCTCTGCTCCTCTCTGAGGAGGGCAGGGAAGGTGAGGAGGCCTCTTGCTGCCCTCTGCTTCTCTCCGTGCATATGCACGTGCTGCTTTCTGCCATCAAGGGGCCGGATCAGACCGGTGGCTGTCAAGTGAGAGCACAAGGGCAGTGTGGGCCTCCCTTTGCTGCTCTCTCCAGTTTTTGGAAGATTTTAAATTGCTGTCATAGTTCACTGCAGAGTTGTGCTCCCTATCTCCCCGGCCGATCTGGAGCAGCTCATGTGAGCCACTCCTCTGGCATATAATCTCACTTGCACAACTCCATATTAAGATTATTAATACACTTTGCCCATGTGAGCAACCCTCGTTGCAGCAATGTAACACGTAGCTCAATCACATAATGTTAAAAAAGAGAACTGGAGCAGACACGTAGGCCCCAGTCCTGGAAATATTTATAGTTAGGCTTGACTTCTAGCATCTTGCTAACCCCTCGAGTGTTTGCAGGATTGAAAACTTAATAAAAAGTTGGCTAAAATATTCTGTTTACAAATTGTATCAAGAGGAAGCATGTGCAATGGCTTATACAAGAAATGAAATTTTTAAAGCAAAACACCCTTCCATCCATCCTCTGTGTCAGTTTATACCGTAGACACTGTAAAAGAGCACGGCAAGGAATAAACAGACACTAGTAAACCAATACCCGAATTTGTATGTTCACTCCTGTTACCGGTAGGTCTTC